TACTATTATATACTATTATATAGTACATATATACTATTATATACTATTATAGTATATACTATATATATACTATTATATATACCATATATATACACTGTATGTATATACTATACTGTTATATACTATTATATGTATATATAATAGTATATATATGTATATACTATTATATATACTGTATATACTATATATGTACTATATATACTATTATATATACTATATATATACTAATACATATACTATATATATTATTATAGTATATATTATATACTATTATAATATATACTATTAATGAGATGAATATATACTGTTTGTTTAATCGACAAAAGGTTGCCATTAATCGAAATCCATTGTCTGCGAAATAATACCGATGAACGTTGTTTCTTGAAAATTTGTTTAGAAATTGCTAGACTCGAGATAAAATGCCCAGCGTCTGATTATAAAAAGGGGAAGAGAATGAAGGAAGGGGGACGATTTCAGGGATAACGCAAGCGACAGGGACGCCAACGTCGACGGAGGCGAGCCTGTCGACGTCCTCGGGGGACTACGCCAACAGCTCGATGGCGATGCCGGTGCAAATGGTCGAGCAACCGTCGACCACGACGAAGCCAAGTGCCGAGCAGTACCTCGGCGACCTGATATCCGGCACCTATTGCTCGCGTATATTCAGCGACTGTGACCGGAAGAAGTGCAGGCTGCAGTCGCCCAACTTCCCCGGATTGTATCCGCGCAATCTCACCTGCTACTACGCGGTAAATATCCCTGGTTGAGAACTTTCGACTAACATACTACTACTCTACGAATTTGTTCCAGTTACGATGAATGATACAAAAGTTACATTTTGCCCAAGGCAGATAATTGGGCAAAATGTAATTTTTGTATCATTTATATCATCTCTCTGCCTGTTATTTTTTTTTTTAATAGAAATTACTTATTTAAAAAGCACTAAATTTCGTATAACTTGTAAAGTATCACAAAATTTTTCTTTTTTGCATTGTATTCTACTCGTCACGAAGGTAAAACTTTAAAACAAGGAACCACAACTCTCTCAGAAAATGGCAAACAAGTTTCTTAATCACGTGCAGACGAGTACTAACAGCGACTTTATGAATATCTATTTGACGTATTAGGTTTCACTAACATTTGACTTATCATAGTTGTGGCACCAATGTGAGTCTAAACAATCAAGTAATAAAACTAACTGTTAACATTATTCAAAATATGGACGTTAAACCCACGCGTCCAGAACTATAAAGTCGCTGTTAGAACGCAATGATTAAGAAACTTTTCTGCCATTTTTTCCAAAGAACTATCGCGACCTATGGTTCCTTGGAAGAGTTTCACCTTTATAAACGAGTAGAATACAATGCAAAGAAAAGAAAATTTTTTTCGAAATTCAAGGTCAATTTTGCGACACGCGTTTCCATCAAATCGAAGGTGTAGAATTTATCCCACCCTGTAGAGTGAAGAATAAATTCCTTGAAAAATCCTCTTTCTCCAATCCTCGGCGTCCGTCATTTCCACTTCGTCTCGTTGAACGACACTTTGAAAATCATTTGTGCAAAATCCAGAACGCTTGCTCGCGTGTCCTCGTTACTTACTCTCTGTCTGACAGAACTCGAATACAGGATCATAAATTGTGAGACGCGCGCGCGGCCCGTGACGACGATTCCAGCGAGCTGGCTTTCTTAGCGAGTTACTTGAAAATTTATGCATCTGTCCGGAGGAAGAATGAAATGCTGGAGCGAGAGCTCGAGCAGCGGGATGCAGGCACTGGCTTTTTCGCTGTTAACGGACATCCGAGAGTCTGTTGATAAAATATTTCGTCGGGGGGGGGGGACGTCTGTCTGTCCTCGAGAATCCATCGCAAATGTGATACCAACTGTTATCTGTGATGAGAAAAAAAAAAAATTAAATTTTTTTACAATTATTAACCCCTTGCCCTATTTTGACGAGTCTGACTCGTGATGAAAATTTTAGGCCAAACTTGAATATCACGAGTCAGGCTCGGTTGTCTAATTTCATGTCAAACGTGAATATCACGAGTCTGACACGTAATCGACATTTCGGGACAAACATAAATATCACGAGTCGGACTCGTGGTCTTAATCTCGGACCAAATATGAATGTCTCGAAATGGGATTTTGTGTCCCAATGCAGGCCACGTGTTACCTGACAGACATTTTCGTGATACAGATATTGGGCACGGCTTCTTCCGAGTTAAATCGTAAGCCAAGGGGTTAAAATTCCCGAATTTTCGAGATTTTCCACGCAGACGATCATCGAGTTTTCAGGTTTCTGCGCACACTTGTGAACATCTAAGTAGTTGCTCTAAGCGTGCCGCGTGTTAATTTTATGGCACAGGTGAGACAGCACGACGTGCCGCCGGGGAAACACGCCTTAATTTCCGTGAGACAGCCCCGAGGTCAACTGGTGGCGATAAGGGCGAGGCCGGCCACTCAGGCGGAATCGTCGCCGCGCGAGCTTCGCCTCTGGAAAGATTGCGACGTGGTTCAGGTACGTATCGATAGAGACCGGAAGCATAGAATATACCGCGGATCGAGACAAATTCGATGCTATCGAACGATGACCAGCGCACAATCGAGACGTTCGACCTGAAAAGCTTAAGGCAAAAATTCTTTCGTCGTTTAAACGCACAGTTTTCATCTAATGAAACTATAATGTAAAAATGTTAAAAAGTTTGCTATATGTATAATAATAGTGTAGTAGTGTATATTCTACGTATTATATTATTATATATAATACTGTACATACTATAGTTTATATATTACAAACTATAGTATATTCTACTATACATATATATTACAAACTATAGTATATTATATTATACATAGGTGTATATATAAGCTATAGTATATTGTACTATAATATAATATAGTATATTATAAATAATATAATATTGTATATTATATTATATTATTATACATAATACTGTACATACTATATATACAAACTTATATATTACAAACTATAGTATATTATACTATACATATATATTACAAACTATAGTATATTGTACTATAATATAATATAGTATATTATAAACTAATAGTATAATATAGTATATTGTAAATTAATAGTATAAAATGGTATATTATGAACTATATATATTATAAACTATGCTATTAGTTTATAGTATATTATAAACTATATATATTATAAACTAATAGCATAGTATACTATAATATTATTATATACCATATATTATATATATATATATATAAACTATAGTATAGCATGCTACAGTTTGTATATTATAAACTATAGCATACTAATTTACATTTTTTATGTAAATGTAAACTAATAATAATAATAAAAAAATGTGATAGAACTGTAATGTTTTATTACATTATTTGACAGTGTGACTAAAAAACTAAATATACATTAACATTTTTTGTTTAAAAATTTTTTTCTTTGAAGTAATTCATAGAGGGTGTCCCTCAATACAACCGGATGGTCAACGATTGTACGCACAAATATAAATCGGAACGAATGAATTTGTTTACCGAATGAATACTTGTAAAAAAATTCGATATAAGTTTTATGGTAGAAAAATCATTGAAATCGAAGCCTCAGTTTCTCACTGAATTCTCGAAAGGAAGAT